CCCCTCATCACCTTGAATAAAACACGTTATTTTCGATCGATTTCTGCTTTTTGGCATGAGATCTCGGCTCAATAAGCTTACAACGTGACTTGAAAGAGTTTTAAAACAAAATATGATTCAATTCAACAAAAACTGCGGTAAGTCAGGTGGGCGCACGTGGCCACCGGAGCGCATTTTCATTGCTATATTGTTGAAGGAGCGGAAGACATCAAAGTGTTCAGGAGGTGTTTCCTGTGGTAGAACTAGTTTTGAAGTTTCACTGGACAATTTCGAAATCAATATTAAGTTTTGCCCAGACAAAGCTCTTCCTCCTCGTCTTCCCTCTGTAAACTCATCAGTTTTTTGACTTCCTCCTTCCTTTTCCTTCTTCTCGAGAGTTTCACAAACAAACATGGCAAACAACAACCATTTCATGAAAAAAGTAATTTTACTGCTTAATGATTTCCTGTACAGTTGTTTGTTTAATGAAAAACATACTGCTTGAAAAGGAGCATGAGAAACACACAATGATGTGTATGAAAAAAAAAAATGTTGTAATAGTGATCATCGTTTTTGCTCGGAGTTTGATTTTCCTTGTAGCAAAACAAATTTTAGCACCGGACTACCATATATTGTAAAACGCGAGATATTTCAATTAAAAAATTTTTGGAAATTTATTTGATTAAAAAAAATGAGCGGCAGATGTCGGGTGCCTTCATCTTACAACGTTCTTTCAGTTTTTTTAAACTAGTAAGAAAACATATCAACAAAATAAATTCTTACTGATAACAAAAACGGAGCTTTTCTGTAAAGATAATGAACAGAAACGAGCAAAAACACATTCGGAACTATCCCCATGGCAGATGACCCCGACCGAAACGTTTTAAAATTCGAAATACCAGGGGCCAAATTTTTCTTAAACTTTCAAATGTGTGTGTTGGAATAATCAAATGTGTTTATTGGAGTAATTGATCACGTGCAATTGTTTTTAGAATTGATCAGTTCTGAATGACCACTAAATGGTCTTTAGTACCTGTTCTGCTGGTATTATATGGGTTTACGAAGGATTTTAAACCAGGCGAACCGTTTCTCTTCAAATATCAAACCGACTTCCTGAATCTCACCGAACACGAGCTCAATGGCGAGGTCAGTTGTCATTAACTTTTTTTGATTTTCGCTCTAACTGTTGATTGAAAATTATATGTATACTTATTTTTTAAAAATACTCGCTTGTTCTCAATTGTAACTCAGAACTGTGGCTCACTTACTCACTTTATCCAATTTCTTTCGCGGTGGAAGTAACTAGCAATCACGTAGAGGGCCTAGTACCCTTACTATTGTGGCTCGAACTGTGTCTGGACCGCGAGAAATAATAGGAGGGAAAAATCATTTGATTTTTTATCACTGATTTCTCAAAAAAATCATCTCATCTTATCGCTCTGATCACTGCAGATTTACCCATACTGGACATACAGCTATTTGATAACGCTCATCCCGATATTTCTGCTTACTGATTTGCTGCTTTACAAGCCGGTCCTTATTCTGGAGAGTATTGGCTATATGGTATTTAGGTTGTGCTTTTTTGAGATTTTCAACATTTTTGCATCATTTTTTAATGCACTTATTGATGCTTCGCGTTGTTAAAACGCCCATCTCACTCTGCTTTCCTGCCTTTCTGATTAATGTAACTTTATCGTCTGGAAATGAACGAACGCAAGAGTAGTTGTGGCGAGAAAAGAATTTTTTTTTATAGAATTTTTTTTATGATTTTTCTTGTGATATTTTTTTATGATTTATTTTTTTATGATTTTTAGAAAATTTTTATGATACGTCTAACTTATAAAATATAATTATCATATGGTGCGAAATCATATGCATTTTCTCTGTTATTAATGAAATGCGGTCAATATGCGAGCTCCTTCTGTTCTCGAGGCTGCATCAGCCACGGCAACAAATTTTTCGAAGCCAACAAAATATGTCTTCTTTTAACTGAATTGAATTATTGTTGTGAGCAGCGCTAATGTCCTTGCCTTTAGGTATTAAGAATCTACACAAAAAAAAGCCCATCATTTTTTTCATTACAACGTATTACGAAACAAAATGAGACAAAAATTTCAGTGAAAAATACACTTTTGATTGTCTTTAACTCATACCACTTCAGTAAGGTAACTTAGGCTGCAACGCACCAGCCTTGCCGGTGCGATGATGCGTCTTTGCATTAAACTCGCTGATTGCTAACAGCAGGAATGATTCCTGCGCTGTAGCCTAACACTTGGGCTCATGGTCTCTTCCTGTATGCAGCACTCTGGTCTCTTCCTGCATGCAGCATTAAGGGCGTCGGTTTGGATGGAGGTGTTGTATTATAGAAGAGCGTGAACCTCCAGGTGCATGATTATCAGTTTTCTGCGCGAAGCTCGGTCGCTTTTCTAGTAAATGCTCGCTCTTCGAAAAAAATGCAAATTTCCAATTCACTGAAAAGTGAAAATGTTGCTCGAGCGGTCGTTCGTCAAAATCTGTGAGAGGATGAGGGCGATCGCTCGCTGCAAAATGCACTTGTTTCTGATTTTTCGGTAAAGTTGAGTATTTCTCATGCCAAACTGCAGGGATTTTTACTTGCAGGCAAAATTAAGACCGCACTTGAAAGTAGAATATCCCAACGAAATTTCAGCCTCGCACCTTATCCGGCAAGTGAAATAGCCACTTCGCTACAAATATCGACGAATCCAAGGGGGAGAGAGACCGAGGGGTCTTTTGCCCTAGGGGCTTAGGTAGCAGTTATATTACTGTAGAAAAATCTACTTGAAACCCTATGTCACCCTCCTTCCCAAGAGCCTTCGAGAGGGGTGTGTAGTGACGAAGGAAGAAGGTGAGGTGAAAAACTGCCCC